ATTTTTTTTTATTTGCAGCTGCGTGTTTGTTTTGTTGTGTACTAGTGGCCTTTCTGTTTTTTGTTTTTTTTTTTGTTAAAAATGATTTGCATCATATTTTCTGTGCATGCTGGTATGTTTCTGTGCGTACTGGATATACTTCATTGGGTAGAAAGTTCAAATATGTGTGTCTTCGCAAGTTAGAATATTTAAGCTGCAAGTAATATTACGCTACGCCAAAAATTGCACATTTCCTCTTATGTTGGCTATATTCTTGGGGAATATGTACTCATCCCTGAATCTACATTCTTGCCTGGAAATCTCAACCGCCATTATGTTATTAGAATAAAACCGCTTCTTTCTTTCTTTTTTACGGCTAAAACTCGACTCCAATTTAATTACATCGCAGTCTTCCGTAAACATTCCAATCTTCTCTTCCGTGTTAATACAACGAGAATGATTTATATTTTCTACATGAAAAGCAGCTGCAGCTTCGAAGAACCGAATTTGTATATTCGTTTGCCGGGAAGTGAACATGAAAAAAACGTTTTATTTTGTTGGAGGCTTCGTTATTATCATCTACGTAGACTTTAATATAATTGATCACAGTTGTATTCAAGAGCCTTTTCTGAATTTAGGAATTCTTTTTTGTTTTGGCCAGAAAGATTGTTTTTTTTTTCTACGAGCTGTAATAATGAAAAACCCGTTAATTTTTCTTTATTTGCTTGTGTTGAAAATTTTGTTAATGCCTTAATTCGCAAGAGTGAATTGATCTCAACAATAATTTGTGTTTTTCAGTTTGCCTACAACTTACTTCTTCTCGAAAGAAAAATAGTTTTTTCTTGAGAAAACAAGGGTAATTTATAATCGATTTCCACACCTACATTTTCGATATAATGCAGTGGCTTTACTAAATTTTCTGGGTAGATTTCAAACATCAAAAGGAACTCTCAATATCCTTTCAAAACATTATGTTTTGATTATTTCTAAGGTACAATCTTTCGGCTATATAAACAGTAGATCAAAACTTGCCAAATGTTGTGTTATTTACTGTTGTTTGAATGTTTCCCCTAATTGAAAGAAGGTAGATTCCTAGGATTCTGTAAACTATAGTAAAATAGCAAATAGTCATCAGATTCGGCTGAAGCCAACACTTATCCTTGATACACCTGCATTTCTGTTTGGGACAACAACGTCTAGCATCATCTTTTAACTACGGTTTAAAAAACTGGCTCGTAGCTATAGGACATATCGTGTTCAAAGCTTTAAAAACCTGCACGGTTAATTTTTGAGAAATGTGATGTACGTGTTACCGTTCATACACTTTAAACCAAAATACTTAAACAATAGTCTTTAAAGCAAAATAGGTTACACAACAGTCACTCTTTCACGCAGACTAACATGCACAAGAAGTATTATAACAGTTCCTTATAAACAACAGCAAAATAATTATAAATTCAAAAGAAAATAAAATACAAATTATTGAAACCATTTTCGTCAACAACAAAAAAAAACATTCAGCAATAACGAGGACATTATGTATTATTATTAGTAGTAGTATTAGTATATATGTATTTATATATATATATGTAAAAATGTCATCAGACAGGAATGATACAGGTTATTTTAGCACGTTCGGATTTATCCGATTCAGTTTTGAACTGTAACGACAATTGGAAATTAAATGACTTTTTATTTTTTTCAAATTACCTTAATTGTACACGCAGTTAATGATGACTCATCTGAGTCGAAGGTATAGTGGCAGCTTTGATTTTGTATATTTTGTGTATCTGCAGCTATATATATATATATATATATATATGTATGTATGTGTGTGTGTGTGTGTGTGTGTGTGTGTGTGTGTGTAAATGCTTAATGATCAGTGTTAAATCAGACCAGGGAACAATAGTCTTAAAAAGTGCTCAATACACACGTGAAAAAATATAAATAAAAGTAAAAATAACATATAGAGCTTTTTAACTATTTTAACCTTTTTGATTTTATATATATATATATATATATATATATATATATATATATATATATATATATATATGAAGAAAAAATATACTGAAAAAAAACAAACAAAAATTCTAATATGCGATTATGCTGTTTGGATTGGTATTGCTTTTATGTCCATCGTCTTTTTCATGATGAATTGTATATGGTCTATGTTAATTATGTTTCATGAATATGTCCTGAAGATGGTCTATTAGACCGAAACGTCCGACGTTGAGATTAAACATTAAAACAGCATAATCGCATATTAGGATTTTTTTGTTTGTTTTTCAGTATATTTTCTTCATACTGTCGGATCTATATCCATATATTTATTTATATATATATATATATATATATATATATATATATATATATATATTATGAATTAACAAATGAATGAAAGGTATGAATCTATGTCATTTCTCTCAGCTATGGGTAAATAGTAGGACAGGCTGTCTAAGTAGTCCACCACTAGCAGTGGTTTACCTACCTCAAGATTACCATTTCATTTACAACTTCCGTTTTGGTTATTCCTAACTCAGTAACCCTTCCTAGTTTACAATACATGTTTAAATAATAATAGTTGCCTAGTTACATTAAACCAAAATTCGTTGACATGGCACATCAAATCGTGGAAATGATAGTATCTCTAGTTATAATGTATTTTAATGGAATTTCCCGGACACCTTGAAAGTACATCTATCAGTTCCTCGGAAAGATTCGCATTAAGATCACATCAAGCTTCAAACTCCTGCAACGTATATTATTGAATCTCCAAATATCTTTATAACCAGAACCTAGCAGCTCATATCTCTTCTCATCTCGCCTAGTTGTCTTAGTCGGGGAAACGTTCTTGTAAACTTCAATACGACTCCAAACTATTAACATCCCATCACCACTGAGTTTGACCTATCATGATGTATGAGTGTTCTCTCAAGGATGCAACTTGCCTTAAACGTCTCTTTGGATTCAAACTCACTCGAGCCATCAAGAGAAACTCATATATCGGATTTATTGCTAATGATGCTGGTAAAATTTTACCGCTTCAGTACGTAACTGGCTACCTCTTCTATACGCTTTACAAAAGGCAAATCAGGCCCAAAATGAAATATTGCCTACTCCTCTCTTGTCTGTCCTTATAGAATTAAAAAGCGACTAGGTGATTAATTATTTTTCATATTAAAACTTCTTTATCACGGGCGAAGCATCGGGAGATTCGAGCCACTCTATCGCCATTTCCATGCCATGTGTTCTGACTCGCAATGTTCTTTGGTTCCAGCAGACCTGACCTTTACAAATGGGAGCCGCCATGCGATTTCCACAAGTGAGTATCCTTATTTCCTTCGTATTCCATTAGTAAGAAGTATGTTCCAGATTTTTCTCATTGTAATTACTGCTTTGTGGAACAAACACATCGTATGATTTTTTCACTATCACTACAATTTTGAACTTTTCAATCTACACTCATCTGTAATTGAAACAAAATATACGAATGCCCACTACATTGTATCTGTCTAAAATCTGATGCAATATACCAAGCTACAGTTAGTCGGTGTATTTCTTATATAATCTCTTGACCTTATATTCAAGCGTTCTCATAGGCTCATACGAATTCACACATAAACTCTCTAACTTGAGTGGTTCTTGGGACTTGTATTGGGTGAATATTAGTATAAGAATCGAATATATCTTCATTATGTTTAATAGAAAATTATATATATATATATATATATATATATATATATATATATATATATATATATATATTAGCTAAGAGCTATTTTTGGTAACATCATTCTCGATATATTTTAAACAAATATGAAAATGTTTTTTTCCTTCTCTGAATACATATAAAGTAAAAATGTAAATAACACAGAAATCAAGTATTTGAACCCATTAGGCGTGACCAAGATTTAGTTTGTCAATCAAATATATTTGACTTGTATATTTCTGAAGAACAACAGTAATACACAAACCTAATTTACATGGCTATTGGTTCCATAGGATAAATATATGAGTTTGATTGTTTATATACGGCTTGATTGATTGAATATATAAATTTTCGTTGATTGAATATATAAATTTTGATTATATATATATATATATATATATATATATATATATATATATATATATATATATATATATATATATAAAATAGTAAACCAGTGCTTCTTAAACTGTTTTCATTCATTGCCCCATTTTTTCATCACGAGATTTTTCGCGACCCCAGGTATTAATCAACTACACTGAAAATGCATCCGTTGTCACTGCACTCGTCGCAACGGCACCGCACGCGCGTTTAATTAACGTAGCGCTTGCATTGGCGCATCACGTTAAATATCTGGCGTTTGTGAAATAACATATAAACTAAAATTCAAGTGTTTGAATTTAATTCTCGCGACACCAGCATTTCTCTTCGTGACCCCATTTTGGGTCGCAATAGTTTACTATGCGCTGTACTAACCTAATTTTCATGGCTATTATGTTACACTCCATAAGATGAATATATATAAGTTTTCGAAAATTTGGACTGATACTTCGACGATACACAGGAATTGAATAAACTACAGAACATGATACTGAGAGTCGGGAACATAATAACTGGTTCTATGGGAACTATCCATAAGTCTTAAAAGATATATTGCCACAATTCGGATTTTAAGTTTCAAAAAATATTCACAAGCCGATGCAATGATTTGCAAATGTACAACCAGTCGTTCTCTCCCGAAATCTAATCCCGTTTGGACCTACAAAAACATAAATAACCAATATATTACTATTAGTGCTACTAATAATAATTTGCTTGTTGCCTGTTCCTCCGTTATAGCTAACTTGTTCCAAAATGATTGGTTCAGCCGCAGCGGAGAGTGTGGATCCCATACAATTTTGCTTACTTCCAGGTAACCTCTTTCGGGGTCATGGTCATTAACCCACATTGGAATCTTTTGGAGAGTGTCTGCTTATTTCAAGCCCCGGCATTACATTCGATAAATAATTGAACATTCCGTTTTGATTACAAGAAATATCAGAGAGGATGTTTGAGCGCAGTGAAAGAAAGAAAGAAAGAAAGAAAGAAAGAAAGAAAGAAAGAAAGAGAAAAAAGAAAGAAAATAAGAAAGAGAGAAAGAAAGAAAGAGATAAAGAGAGAAAGAAAGAAAGAGAGAAAGAAAGAAAGAGAGAAAGAAAGAGAGAAAGAAAGAGATAAAGAGAGAAAGAAAGAAAGAGAGAAAGAAAGAAAGAAAGAAAGAGAGAAAGAAAAAAAGAAAGAAAGAAAATAAGGCGATTATGTATTTAAGGTTTGACTTAGTGAAATGGAGAACCATTAAAATTTCAAATATTTTCATTTGTACCCTCTTATGTCTTTAAATAAGTACCTTTCTTCTTACCATTGTTCACCCAATACAGAATCTAATTGCTACTGAAGTTAGGGAGTTATTAATGGTGATGTTGCAAAAGTGTATAGGAACGAAGTAAGGTTTACACATTATGCAAGATAAATAATGGTTTAGCCTCGACTTGAAGAAGTTAAAATTTTAGTGATCCAGGAAGCATTCACTACAGCAGTCCTTTCCACGTTGTGACAATTCCAGGGAAGAAGATGCATGTCGGGAGCTTATTCCTTATCAATGGAATATGAAGAAAATTAGGAAGATTCGACTCAGCGTGTGTGGCATGGCAGGTCCTAGTTGTGGAGTTTGAGTGGTGGATACAACTTGTGTAATTCGCTCAAACATCTTCAGTTAAAATAGCAAAGACGTTGAATGAGAAACAAGTTGAAAGGCAGAAAAAATTATGACCCAAAATATGCCGCACAGGTATTCATATTCTTTTTTTAATGTAATATTTTGAGAGAAAGTTATCAAATTCTATGTACCAATGCAACAGCAGAATTTCCATGAAGATGTTATAGTCGCGAAATTTGCATGAAGTTTTCTCAACCATTAAATTAATAGTTATGTGAACATCAAAAATTAAAATAAGAAAATAGTGAAATATCCAGATGTACTACTCTATATACTACTATTACTACTACTACTATTACTACTACTACTAATAATAATAATAGCAGCAACGAAACCATTATATAAAAATGCAATGTCTATTCATATATATTTGCTGATACTTTTTACGTTAATTTAACGTGTATTTATCCCATGAGAAAAATGACCCATGAAAATTGTTTATAAACCATTTGATAATAATTTAAACAGACCCTCTTAAAAAATTAAAAAAAACCTCTTTAAAAATTTATATATACAACTTAAAAAAATATTCACGATATTAAGTCTTTACATATACAGCTTCATAAATGTTTAAATACACCGTTTTAAAAAAAAAGTACATAGATCATTTAAAATATCATACAAAGCTCAAAGAAAAGTAAAACTATAGTCAACCATTTTGGGAAAAGGTACACTATTGATAACAGGATTTTTATTGGTACGCAACAGCATTTTCAAGAATATGAAAACAAAAAATATCATTGTTTTATGAAATGGCTGGGAAAATACGCTCATATTTCAATCAACAGTTTTAAAAATGTTATCATTTATTGTAATAAAGAAATATTGATCTATGTCCGCAAATGTAAAAGACCATGATGCGTGATATAAATTGATGTCAAAATCAAGAAAATGGAGAAATTATCTGGGATGTGTTTTTAACAGCTGATAAAAGATACGGCACCGAAACCAAATACGCATTAGACTAGCGAGAGATGCATTCCAAATGTTAAGAAAGCCGCTGAGAAACAGAAAAAAATCGTTAGAATTAAAGAAAGGAGTGCTGGATTGCTAGGTGATATCTATACATTTATATGATAGTGAATGCTGGACAATCTCCTTCCAAATGGATTAAGAGAAAACTGGCAGTAAAATAAATACGGTTCAACAGAAGGATACTGAGAATTCCATGGACGGAGGGAATAAGCAACGACGAAGCCTTAAAAGAAATTGCAACAAAAATCAAAACCAGGAAGAGACAGCTTAAATTTTCAATGCATATTGACGAAGGGCATATTGCGGGTAGGCAAGAGTGACGAGGGAATGCAGTGAGCCATCTACCTGACGAGTTTATGTGAATGTAGTAAGGAACGAAAGGCGGAAGCCTTGCAAAAGAAGAAAGACTGCTTCCGGTCACAGTGGATAAGAAGGTTTGGAGAGGCATGGTTGCGTCATATAGAAAAACATTGACTTATTGAATTGTTTCTTATACTCATGACAGGTGTTATATTGTATAGTATGTATTATTACTTTTTGTCGGGGTACCAATTTTAATGACAAGTTTGTTAACCTAACTAACATTTCCTTAAATATAACATGACAAGAATGAAAATGTGCTACATACAACAAGGTTCAATACAATGTTCAGTGGACTGACAAGGGTAAAACTCCACAACTGATCGCTAAATATGATCATGTTGGGAAAAATGTGTATAATATGCTGGGATCCTCAGGATATTATACATTTAATGTTCTTGAAAAGTAGTGAAACCGCATATGCATGTTTACATGTGTAGCAATTGCAACGTGCCTATAAATGTTTGGTGAAAAAGCACCAATAGGATAATGTTGTTGTTCACCATGCCAACCCAAGCACGAATGCCGAAGAATAACCCAAGTAAAAAGAAAAAAATGAAACTCGGATGGTCTGCTCTACTTCATCCGCCATATTTAACTGATCTTGTACTAACCCATTTTTATCGTTTTGGGATCGCGGTAAAAGGCTTTGATGCGAAAAATAAAACCTTGTTTAAATAAAACCCGATTCCAAAGTCCATAGAAAAAAATTCACCTCAGCATTTTAATCAATTAAGTTATCTTGGGCAGGTTGAATTTGCGATGCCCATCATTCATCAGCTGTATTTCAACTTGGAGAGGGATAGGATCCGCCAGGTCTATTTGTTTGCCCATTACATGCTACGCATAAATGAATACACCTCCGGCTTTCAATCCAAATATGTGGCTGGACAGCTAATCAGCCAATCAGCGACCCTAAGGAGACAACAGCTCAGATGATAATAATGATGATGATGATGTAAATTCCTTGGACTAACCCCATTTTTGACCATGTTAACAGATATAGGATACTTGTAGAAGTGGTTAAGTGTAAAGTCTTTAATGGTTTTACCGAGATCTTTTCAGCACCACTTCGGAATTATTCATTTGAACAATCTAGCAGACCGTTTCTAAATATATATTCGCATGTTCTTTTTTTAGCAAAGAATACATGATAAAACCTTACATTAAATATATAGTTACAATTGTGTCTGTCACATTTTGAGTTAAATCAACAGTGCTTTTACTGTGCAAGTGTAAGAGAAATAAGGCTTTTGTCTCTGAGTCTGCATTTGTCAACAATCTTTTTTGATAACACACACAGACACACACACACATATTATGAAATGGACAGAGACCGACAATTATTCTTTAAAACATTTTTTTACTAAATCCTTCAATTAAAACGAATTATAAAAAGAACGTATAAACATAAAAAATATATCTTAAAAAATAAGTGTCGGACTTTGTCCATTTCATAATGTATGACGCCATTTGTTTACATTTAGATACGCATTGGGCAGGTATGAATGAGAGAAAATCATGGAGAATTGTATTTAAAAACAATAAAATAGATCTTGCTAACCGAATGCTCCTCTGTGGCCCAATTGGTTAAGGCACATCAGTCTATATGGCGGTTCCGTATAGCATACAGGTACAATTCCTGTCGGAGGACGCATATTTTCTATGAAAATTTCTCAGACATTCAGGCCGGTAAATGTTGTTAATAATGTTTATTATAAACAGAGCATTTACTTAAATATCTGTATCTATAAAAAGAATGTATAAACATAAAAAAAATGTCTTAAAAATAATTGTCGGACTTTGTCCATTTCATAATGTTTGTTTACACTTGGATACGCATTGAGCAGATATGAATGAATGAGAGAAAATCATGGAGAATTGTGTTTAAAACAGTAAATTCGACCTGGCTAACCGAATGCTCCTCAGAGCATTTACTTAAATATTTGTATCTATAAAAAGAACGTATAAACATAAAAAATGTCTTAATATATATGTCTTAATACATTTATATATATATGTATGTCTTAATATTTATATATATATATATATATATATATATATATATATATATATATGTCTTATATATATATATATATTTATATATATATATATATATATATATATATATATATGGTCTTTGAATAAATAACACTGCCTATCATTTTTTTACGTTCCATATCACTTTATGGCATGAGTGATTATGGCTGTCCACAGCCTCCTTTTTCATCTGACAATCTACATTGCTCTGATTGTGTTCTTTTCTATTACCAGTTCAAAATTTCGTCTATGACAAAGACTATGTCAATTCTTGTACTTTGCACCCGAAGCATTCTACGCAAAAAAAAAAAGAAGTTAAACTCAAACCGAAAAAAAAAAATATACAACCGAAATGTCTGTGAAGTATGGCAGGAAAGAGTGAAGATGCTGATGCCTCAGGCAGGTCGGGAATGGTGGTAAAATATTTTTCTTTATTCACCTTGCCTATTTCGCTTTTGTTGATGTCGTTGTCGGTTTTTTCATTCATTAATTTATTCATTTATTCGTGCAGACTTCACCGACTTTCACGATCGACGTTTTTGTTGAATATTTTCCCCTTATTTATTAATGTTTTTTATTAATTTCTTAATTTCGTTGTTTTCTATTTTTCCTTCTTTCCTTCTTATTAATTTCTTCATCTTGCATTCATTATTTCTTCATCTTTCTTTGTTATTTTGTATTTTTTTCCTATTTTCGGATTCATTGTTTTTTTCTTTCTTTTTAGCTTAATTATTACGTTTATATTTTTCTATTTTATTATTATTTTAACATTTTGATTTATTCGTTTCTTTCTTTATGCATTCTTATATTTTTTTTTATTTTTGCTAATTTCTTTTATTTATTTTAACGTACCTTTTTTTTATCTTTCTTTCTCTTCCAATTTTATGCTTCTTTGTTATTCATTCGATATTCTTTTTCTTAACTGCTTTTTTTATTTTATTTTTAGGCTTTCTTTTTATCTTTTCCTTTTAAGAGTTTTTCCTTTAAGCTTTCTTATTTTAAGCTTTATAATTTTTCCCTTCTTTTTATCGTTTTTTTTTTTTTCAGTTTTTCTTTTGCAATTTGATTGCCTCTTTTGTTTCTTTTTAGATTTTAATCTTTCTTTCTCCTTTCTGAATACTTTTCTTCTTTTATTTCATTTAAGATATGTTTTTTTTTATTGGTTTTTATTTTCCTTGATTCGT